CCCCCCCCAACCTGAACTCTCAAGCCGCAACCCCCGCCCCCAACCAGAACACTAGCCACCAGCTAGTAGCTGAATGTAAACAATGGGCGTGTGCAATAGCCAGCCTGCTATTAGCTATGACAATTTGAAATAACCAGTAGCAGAATCTAGCCAGCAGATAAATGAGGAGGGGTTGTTGTCTAAGAGTTAATAGTAACTCTTATCTGGCATCGATCAATCTCCATGGGTGCCAGATACCTGGCAGCAAATTGCCCCTGTCAAAGTCAACGTTTCATTGTCAAAGGAATGTGGCAGGTTTTCTCTAATATATATCTATATGCTTACAAAAAGAAGTAGAAATCCAAATTTACTTTTCTTCTCTTTAGGGTCACAGGGGTACATGTACTCCTGTGACCCAAAGCATATAGTTGGCTAATGCCTGCTATCTGCTGAAAGCACAGAGCCGTGCTGCAGCTGAGAAGGATACCAACAATGTCGGGATCCACCCAGTGACCATTGGGGGAATAGAGAGGGGAGAAGGGAATCCCTGCGGGGGGCAGAAACAGAGAGGGGAGGAGGGAATCCCTCCGGGGGTGCAGAACAGAACAGAGAGGGGAAGAAGAGGGAATCCCTGCAGGGGGCATGGACAGGGAGAGGAGGAGGGAATGCCAGTGGGGGGGGGGAGTGACTGATAGTCTGCTCCCTGCAGAGGGTAGTGACTATCAGCTTGGCGATCAGTGCTTACCTAATCACTCAGCTCTTGGTATAAAGAGCCAGCGTGTGACAGCTGCCAAGTCCCACGCCAGATCTACATATTGGAAAGTGTATATTTTACTCTCCCAATACTTCTCCTTCAACATATACCAAAAGGCAAACCGTAGAATCCATCCATGTGTGCTAACAACATTTTTTAATTGCTGAACGCGACAAAAAATACTCTACTACACAGAGAGTTCAGAGATTTAAAAAAAAACAAAAACCTATTTCGCCTTTCCATTAGATAAACTGTAGAGGTTTCCTGTCCTTATTCTGTTGTGACAGTAGCTTGTGTAAAGTTTGTGTATGATAACAATACTGACTGAGATAAAAACAGGACAGGAACTTAAGGCTTGTACATAAGGCCTGGTTCACACCTGGGCGTTTACAGCGCGCTCCTACGCGCTATAAAACGCTCAAAATGTGAAAACCAATGATTGCCTATAGGCATGGTTCCCACCTGGGCGTTTTACAGCGCATAGGAACGCGCTGCAAAACGCCCTACGCCCAAAGGAGTACAGGAGCTTCTTTGTGGCGTATTTGCCGCGTGTATTCATTAGGATACAGCCGGATAGCCCTCAGAAACACGCGTTTGTCGCGCGGTTTATTACCGTGAATCGCGGTAAAACCGTGCATATTCGGTACGCCTAGGTATGAACCCAGCCTAACAGCTATGTATCCAGGATCTTAAATGGGACCCGCACAGAAACAGATATATACTGTTGGACTACACTGAAAATGAAGAATTGCAAGAAAACTTGGACAGAATGTTGATTTTTCATCAGTATTCCTCAACATTCTAAGAGCTTAACTCTTGCACTGCCAGAATAGAACTTCAAGAGAATATTGAATCTGGCAATTTATTCATTTGACCATCTGGTAATGAAAAACCACTGAAGTACGTCAAAAGGAAATCGCTCAAAGCTTTCAAATAAACCCAAGTTTCAGACATCTAAGAAATAATTCAGAAACAAATCAACCGCCTCTATTACTCTAGCAGACGAGGCCTGAGTCACTGCGTGCAAAAAGCAGCATTATCAGTAACATGATATACTGAATACCTCACTATATATAATAAACTATAATGCAGGCTGCACATTGTTACCAATCATCTAGAGCACAAATTATAGCTACAACATGATAAATAACATATCTTTTGGCTACACAGCAAGGGGCTGCCAAAGACGAAAAGGATGTATTTGTCTAAAGCACACTTCATGAAATGTAACCCTCTGTGAATCAGCACTGCTAGAGAGGAATATATCAAATTAAGTAGAGACTATCTACGTACTCCTTAGGTGGTTCCAGATCTTCAGGTCGGGCATCAAAAAACCTCAAGACATCTTCACACTGGGATATATGAGGTGGTAATTTCACCAAGGCCTGCAAAATAAACCAAATGTGTTGTGCTATGGATAAACTATACAACTTAAAATTTATAAAAACTGAAACAAGGAAAGCTGGAGCATTTATTCATAATAACAAATTATATTCATTGTTTAACTTTCCTACAGAATAAAATAGCATCAGATTGGATGTAATATTTCCATGTCTGCAGTGATTTTTATAAACATGCCCAAGTCAAGATTTTGCCATGGTGACCATAAGGAAAGGTGATCTTAACTGATGTACAATGAATAAAGCAAAAGGTTTTCCTACATTTGTATTATTGAATCAGTTCTAAGGTTTTGTGAGACACATAAGCACTGGTCAACTATTCCTTATGTGGAACAACCTAGAAAACTAGTTCTAAAAACAATATCCACCACCACCCTCCCCCCAGAGGTCTTCCAAACAAAGTCAGCAAAGTGAAATGGCAGATACGATATAGGATTACGATATAATAGTTTTAACAGAAATCTGCCTTAAAGAAAGTCATTAGTGGAAAGATGGAGACTTCTTGTTGTCTGGATTACTGCAGATCTGCATTAAACCTTACCTCAGTGATAGAGCTTCCTGTAATACAGACCAGTTACTTCTAATTTATGTTCTTCTGCCGGTTGATGGGTATCGTACCCAACCCTTTTCTGTTGTTCTCTGCAAGCAGTCTTTTGCGGTCCCTCCCACAGCTTCATTCTGTACAGGCTATGTGCAGCACAGTGATGATGTCACTGCTACTATTAGAAGGGAATACCTGGGTTTGCAAGGTTATTGCAAAGTGAATTTTTCTTTTTCCCTGCTAGCACTTGTAGATTCAGCAGAGCCCGATGTGATCCTATGCCCGTCCCTCCCTCTTCCATTGTGAGAACAACTGTGCAAGGGTTGACAGGAGAGTGAGATCAAGACAAACTCAGATACCTATGCCAGTTTTAGGTGCATTTAATTATTTTGGAAGTGTGGACATAGCTAATAAAGGAAGCAATACACATTGCTGAGGAGAGGACAGACAAAAAGACAAATAAATCAATGTAAACATCTTTCATAAAATGCCCTTACCCTGCAATACTCATCAATGGGTTTTAGTCTTTTCACAGCTACATCCCGTATATGACTTCTTCGAAACAAAATTTTGCCTAGAAAACAAGAAAAACATATTATACCCATATGTATAGCAATGCTAAATGATCACCCAATAAAGCACAAGCACCACTCCCTCACGGCCAAAATGGAGGACTCATGGGTACCCACTAATTGAGAGTTTCCTCGCTTAAATCGGCACAATCAAAGGCAAAGGAGATCCAGCTGCAGCCCAAGAAACGCTGTGGAAAGTTAAAGTTTTATTAAAGTTCATCCATGGCACAAAAGTCCCGCCCAAGATCCTACCCTCTTAACACGTTGCACTCAATAATGGGTTTAGTCGTAGAGATAGGTATATATGATATCACACAAGCTTACTATAAAAAGCAAAATCAGGGGATTCAAGAGCCTCAAGAGCTTTATTGTACTTCTTATGATATATTTTTTGTTTTACGTTTCAGTGAAACCCTTTTTTCAGATTATGATGTCAAAGTACATATGCCATGCTTTACACAGGGATGTAATGTATTATGATCTAGCCCCAGATGAAGTCAATTGTGACGTAAGTCTCGCAGACGTGGATTGGAGATTGCATGGTCGGCAGCACAGCTCCTGTTTGATCTGTCTTTGCACCCAGAGAACACGGTGACCCGGAGAGAGAGTTGTCGCGCATACATTTTATTTGAAGTTTTATGTCTACTTTCCTCATGTGAGTAGTTTTTTAAATAAATTAGTTTTTTTTAAATTTTGGGTTTTTACGCTATGGGCTGTTTTTATATTTTATTGGATATGGTCGTGATGACACGCTGACGTCATTTTCTGTGCAACGATTGCGGAGAGACAGCCTTTGAATAAGATCGAATGGAGACCCATTAATGCGATTCTAGATCTGTTCAGGTCTATTTATAAGGTGAGCGGCCAACTGAGAAGGGGAGCACATGGGTGATAATTGGAGTTGACGTATGGACTTTGTACAAAGAACTTTCACAGTGGAAGGATAAAGATTGTGGTGCACTTGGGACAAATCTTGAGCACTATATACGTGTGATTCCACATTTGTGTATATTTGAACATGGAATATATGATTGCACTTTCTAGAGGACTATTATATACAAGAAGATTCATTGTTAACACTTTTTTGATTGCATGTATTATTTAAGCACATATTTATTATAGAGATTTGTTTATGTATTGTTCTAGATGAAGCGCAGCACATTCATTATAATTTAATGTATTATGATCTAAATTATTCTGAGGCACTGGCATAACAATGTGACCATATGCAAATGCAGAATGATCACGGTAGACAATCGCTGAATGATTCTAAGGATTGTGGTTGAGCAGGTTGGAAAATACACTGTAGCTAGATTTCTCATTAGAAAACAGGTGGTGCTGCTGAAATTGCTCTATAAATTCTTTAACTGGTATCCACTAATTAGCAGATGTGCCTGTTGGGAAATAAAATATTTTTGAGGTTGGATCTCAAAAGGTTAGTCCACTCAAAAGTTGAATTTCTTGATTCTGGTGGGATGATTCACCTACCAGCTTCTTTGCTCTTGGGGTCACCAATGGTGCAATCTATGTGTCCTAGTTTTTGGCCCTGCTTGGACTCAGGAATGTTGTGTGTTCCCACCCATTTTAGGGTGTTTTAACACATAGCATTGATTAAAAATTCAACACGGAAGGTTAGCTCCTTTGCTGAAGCAGATGTGCAGGTCTAGGAATGCAAGTGCAGAGATTCTGCCACTAGAGAGATTTGAGAAAATATTAGATTGGTTAACTCTTCAGAAACCAATACTGAATAATCTCCTTAGGGTGGACTGGCCCTTTAAAGTGGACCCATCACTGAGATTCACAGTTCACATGAATCAGTAGTGCAAAGGCTGGCATAACCACGTGACATAATTGTTTTGGAAGAGAAAGTACCTCCTGCGTACCCCTAATAAAAACTACTGTTCTGATGTTCAGGGGCAAGACAGCCGGAAAACACCTGGTCTCTAGTTACCAGTCAGAGACTACATACTCTTGAGTTTTAAATCAGAAAGACTTGCCAAGCAAAGAGGATGAGCAATTTACAAAGGATGTAGATAGAGGTTTTGTAAATAGGAATAAATATGGCTGTTCCCATATACCTAAATAATCACACAGTAACAATGTAGGGTCCTGACCTTCACTGAAACTACTTCTGCAGATTATCTCTTCACCAATTTCACTAACTTGGGAGGTGGAAGGGACCGGTCTAAGACCAAGCTTCCTTGGAGGATCGAGTGAGTATAACTTTGTTATTTCCAAACCTAGACAAAAACGAGCTTCAGGGGTTGAGTTCAGGGGTTAACGTAGTATTAAGGTCTGGGCATTTTTTACCTTAATGCATTCTCTGCATTAGTGTAAAAACGGCCCAGTACCTTTTTTTCTCCCCGTCCCCCCCAGACTTACCTGTCAGCTACGCTCGTTCTCGCCGCCAGTCGTGAATCGATCCTCCATTTTCCGAACGTCCTGGTTGTGGGGGGAGGATACTAATGGCAAAGTAGCCATAGGCTCCTTCTGCCATCAATCAAATTGTTGGGTGCAGAGGAGGGGCGAGGTCTGCCACAGGGCTGTGTGTGTCTATGGACATACAGAGCCACTGCGGGCAGGAGTGCGCACGGGAGTCTCCAATAGCCGATGGAGACACCCATGCAGTGGGCGGGGGGAAGATTGCTGCGGGGACCCACTAGAAAACGAGGAATTACAAACTTTTAAAGAAAAACGGCATTAGCCTCAATCAAAGGTGGGTCTCTTTGAATGAAATATTTTTTTTAAAAAGGAGGCTTTAATATCACTTCCTATCAACTCCAGGTAGAACTTCCCTGGAGTTCTGCTTTAAAAAAAAGAAGTCTTATCAAACATTTTCCGAGTTGTTTCTGATCCCCATATTACAAAGTGCCTGTGGCACTTTCTTCAGTCATTCTAGGTGGTGTTGATCCTGAGATAGCATGGTCAACAGCAAACAGCTCCCCCTAATATTTAATCAGCTGTGATGCAAAAGCAAATAGAAAACCAAAACTTACAAACATATTCATATTTTGCATAAAGCGGGAAATGTCTAAACTTACCATCTACTATAAATAATAAAACTGATAGTGTCTGAACTTATTTTTCAGTATCATAGAGGTATTGCTTTCAAACCTGAAAGCCAGTAAATAAATCTAACTGCAGATAGTGTAACCAATTCTTATTTACCATGGAATAGAGAAATAAAATAAATAAAATGCATGCATGGCATTGGAGGTATCATTTCTACCTGCTGAGCAGTAAACAGAAGGGTACAAAGATTCCATTTAAAATGACAAATTTGTCATGCTGTCTTTATCATCGTGTGCCAAGAGGATGTGAAGAGCTCATGTTAACTTTGTAAATCTGGTCTGACCATGTCAATATGAATATGCTGCACATCAGCATCCAACAAGTCTAGTCTGTCACAACACTGCTGTCCACTGTGTGCTTCCAGTAAAAGAATCCATCCAACTGGCAGACATAGATGTGTACTGAAAACCAGGTATCAGCATGAAACCACTCAGAATTCCAGCTAGTCCACATTCAGAGGGGATCTCAATCCATTTGAACTGTGGACTAATGTCAACCAACTTGTAATCCCAAAATTAATTTTCTCAAAACAAGATAAGTCATCCAGAGGCTGCAGTAGATGTCCCAGAAAGAACAAGACATTTCTCATAATTTTACATGCAGACTTCAGTCAGATTCAAAATAATAACATCTGGGGACCTCCCCCTTCACACATGTATTAAGGATCTTTAATATGGGGGAGCACCCAGGTGTAATTGTAAGCTGACAGTATTTCATCTGCAACGGCACCTTATATTGAGAGAAATGTGTAGGCTGCCTGTCACTCCTTTGGAAAATGCTGATCCCCTTTTATCCTGTTTGTGTAATAGATTCAGTACTTTAGGAATCACTGACCTGGGACAAGTACACAGGTCACTGGATTCTGACTTCACATGCATGTTCCAGTTCAGTGATTCCAAAAGAAAAAAGTCAAATGAGCCTTTACAGAAAAATGGGTTTTGAACCAACATAAAGCACAAATTCGAAAATTATATTAACTCCCAGTCACCAATTAAAATTCAACTACAATCGTCGTTAGGTTAAGAAAAGCTGAATTGTGACTGGCCACTGGAAGCTACAAAATTGTACTCTTCTTTTCATTTTGTTATTAGATCTCACCTCTTTTAATTCTCAATAACTATAGCACGGTCTATTTGAAATGCTCTTCCCTAAGGGGCATATGGATATATTGACATGATCCCTAGACAGTATTATAATAATACAGTAAGTGCACTATAAGTTTTATTACCTAACAGTTCAGCAAAGCGTATGGGCATGTCAGCAACTTCGGAACGCACAGGCATACAGGTCAGTGCTGCTAAGGAAACCCTTGTGTAACACAGCCCCCCATTGTCAATTCTACGAAATGGCTATATACAAATACAAACCATCAAAATAAATACATTTTCAGCATGAAGCCGAAATTAGAATACTAATCCACAGATTTAATAAGCAATCACACTACGTGACTAATTAATAAGCCAGTTGAAAATTGCAGTGTTCGTTCCATTGCCAAGTCTGAGTTTCTGCACTATGCAATCCTCCCCTACACTTGAACTAGAACTCTAAAAACAGCTTGAAGGCTCCTTTTAACTGCTTAAATGTATAGATGACATTAGAACATGTTGTATTTACTTAATCTTTTATTATTTTAACTTTGAAAAGGTATACTTACATAAAATGCAATTATATTGCACAAGATTGTAATGTATACTTGTGACAATTACTTCCAAATGGAGCAGTAAACCAGGACATTGTCTTGCAGTATAGGGTTGTGTGTAGACATCTTTAAACAATAATTCAACAAAAACAAACAGACTGTAACAAGAATGATGTTCCTTACTCATGTTGCCATCAAATATGCTAGATTATGACATAATTGAAGAATAATCTGTGGTGCGGAATTCCGAGTTCCTCTTTCTTGATGCATATAGGTCTTATAAAAAATGTA